TGAAGATGTTGCCTCTGCAAAGGAAGGGGATTTACTCTACTACTTCCTGTGATGCTTTTAAAAACTACTGTGCAATGCAAACTTTGTTCGTGCTGATAATATCAGCCTCAAAGGACAATGAAGGCCATAGCAGAAATGCTAAGTCACAGCTTGAACCAGTGATTGAGCACCTGGTGGGAAGGCAGGGCCAACGCAGGGCAGCTCAGGTGCACATAATGCCCCTGAACTCCACCCTTTCCAGACCTCGTTTAAGGGTCAGCAGTGGAGGTAAGGGTATCTTCCTGGACAACCCTGCCTCGCTGAGGCCCTGTGAAGGTAAGCAGTTCCTTTCCTTTATTTCTGTGCCCGTGGCTGCTATATTTGAGCAAATCCTTGCTGCACCCTAGGACTTTGCTACTCTGCTGTCATTGCTGTGCTTTCCATTGTGTTATAGTGCTATAAAGGCCAACTCTAAAATGTCTGGTTAATTCTGAGTTTAAAATGATGTGATTTGTCAAGCTCACAGCAGTGAGCTAAGAGGGTTGTGGTAATTAATTAATAAGGCTGAAATGTGCAGTTAAGGAGCATAGAAGCAACTGTGAATCATTGGAAGCATTTCCCTTACTCTTTTATTCAGGTTATTTGATCTATGATGCTCACATTGTTTCCAGTTTGTGTGTCCAGGAAGATTTGTGTTTATCAAGAATCTGTCTTGTTCATATTTCTAAAGTTTTCACAGGATGTGAAGGGTGCAGAGGGTGGAACCAGCATATTACTGAGCTGTGACTTTTTGAATGTGAGAAATTGCACTCTCGTGTAGAGCGCTCAGAACAGTTTCTGAAAAGTGTGAATGTTTGGGCTTTCGTTTTATCTGGGACTGAAGGATGGGTGGAATTTCTGACCTTTTCTTACATAGTATCGTGCCTGCTATAATTATTGCAAGCAGTAGCTGTAACTTCCTCCATCAGAGCAAAGTTCGTTAAATGTTAGGCTTTTTAGAGTCATAGAATACATTGAGTTGGAAGGGAGCACTGAAGGCCACATAGCCTAACTCCCCTGCAGTGAACAGGGACGCCACAGCTACATCAGGCTGCCCAGGGCCTTATCCAGCCTCGCCTTGAAAGTCTCTAGGGATGGCTCATCAACCACATCACTGGGCAACCTGTTCCAGCGCTTCACCACCCTCACTGTACAGGATTTTTTTTTTATGTCTAACCTAAATCTCTTTGAGCTTGAAACCATTTCCCCTTTTTGTGTCACTACAGACCCTGCTAAAGGTTCTGTCCCCTTCTTTCCTGTGGTTCTTCCAGTACCTAAAAGGGGCCGCTCTCAGGTCAACTCAAAGCCTTCTCTTTGAAAATCCCCGGCTCTCTCAGCCTGTACTTGCAGGAGGGGCGTGCCATTCCGTGCATTGTTTTTGTGGCTCTTCTCTAGGCACACTCCAACAGGTCTGTGTTCTGGTTGTGGGGGTTTTTTTGTTTGTTTGTTAATTTTTTCAGTTTGTCCGCTTGTTCATCTGTCTTAACAGCAGCTGGGTTTGTAAAAAGGACATTTGCTAAAGAGACAAATGGAAAAACTAGTGTGGTACTTGATCAAATTTACATGTATTTTGCATGGGTCATGAGGCCTTGCTGTCACTGATGAGAATATTTGAGTTGAAAAATGCAGAATCCAAAATGGAAACCAGTGGCTGCTTTTGGGAGCTACATGGTGCTTACAAATGCCTGTCATATCACAACAGCATGGTATTTATTGGCCAGCAAGGGCTGAGCGTTGTCTGCCTGGGTACTCTGTAGTAACCTATGTTATCTGAATGGTTCTTTTTGAATTTGGTTTGCTTTTAAATATGGGTTTAAAAAATGGATGAGGAGGCTGCCTTTGAAAAGGTTCTTGAATTCTGAGTTTAATTTCCTTATTTGTGTTATTTCATTTGTAGATCCAGAGTAGATGGGACTGCATTTGGCAAAAAACGCTTTTCCTTTTGATTTCTGTGTAATTGAATACCAGCTTTCAATTCAGCTTTACTTCAATAAGTTGAGAGATTGCTGAAGTGTTTTCTTGGATTTATGTGTGAAGAGGAAAGCAGGCATTGTTCAGTTCTGCTCTTCTTACTCTTCCACAATACTTCTTCTCTTTTAATTGCAATACCTTATGCAATAAATGTCCCATAGATTTCTGCTTAGGGAATTGAAGACTGCAGTAATGCAGAAATGGAAAAAGTGAATAATGCTATTAGGGAGGACAGCATTTGACAAAACAGTTTCTGCAAGTATCGAGCACTGCTTTTGTTTTGTTATGAGCTAACTTGAATAGTTATAGAAAGTGATTAGTGAGAATTATGATTACGATAGGAAATTAGAGATTCTATTGATTGAATTCTAACTTGTTTTTCAGATTTAAAATGAAACTGTTAATATTGCTAAGTTTGAAAATAAGTTTTCAAAAAAACTAAAAAAATCTCATATTTATCTGTCTTTGTCCTATGTTTATTCAGACTAGTCAATAGCCAGGCATGTTTTAAGAATGGCGTTTAAGCAAATCCAGCAGCAGGGTTTAGATTTAAATAAACATCAGCTCAGTGTGAAGCTTGTTGAAATTGCTTCCAGGAGAGTTTTTCTAGTGGGAACTCTTACCTGCTTTTGACTGGAGCAAATTTAAAACTTTTTTCCTTTTAAATTACCATCTGTAGGGAACTGCCTTTCTGTTGCAGTTCTGTCATTTCTCTCACTTCTTTCACTAGAAGAGTTGAGAGGCCTTCTTTTTTTTTTTTTTTTTTTTTTTTTACACAGATATGTGCACACTTATCTACACCATCTCATTTTGGAGGAGACTGACTTTTCAAGTGCCCACAAAAACCATCTGAAATAATTCGTAAACCTTTATTTGTACTTATTTAGTGAATGTTTTTTGACATTGCCATTGATATTGACAGTCAAAATTGGATTCCTTATTGAATACGTGAAGCTGATGAAGTTCTTTACTTGTTTTTGTTCCACCTACATCACTTCTCTACCTTGTCTCTATTAGTACATATTTTCTTGTGGAACTTTGTGAAATTAGCTTGAACACTGAGTGATGTTCTCTTTACAGTCTGTCTTAAACTTGTTTCTTGTTTTATAAGAATTTTTTTTGTTTTGTACAAAACATGGACATAAAAAGACTGGGAATCTTGGTAACTATTACATGGTTGGAGGAATTAAAAATTAAAATTAAAAAGTGAATTTCTGATATCAAACTCTGCGTTTCATTAGATTGTTCAGCTGCACCTTTATGGTTATGTGGTAACAGTGGCCAGCACTGATTTGATTATATCACATTGAACTAGAGAGTACAATTCTTACTGGCTCTTGTGTTTTAGACAAAAACTGTCCCTTTGATTTTAATAAAAGTATATTGAAGTACAAAGGACACAATCTTCATGTTTCTTATTTAGCTATTATACAAATTCTGTGTTTATGTACAAGTGCAGAGCTGAGGTTTCTTTTTAATCAACTTGCTGTCTTATGTGTGCAGAGGCAGCAATTTTGGTTCAGAACAGTGCATACAATGGTGCTTGAATGTAAGAATATCACAGTTTTAAAGAGCTTGTGGTCATATTCAGGTGTCTGAATGTAGACCTACTTCTGAACTACTTGTATTTATTTTTTTCTCTGTGGCAAATGGAGCCTGAAAATGGAGTCTTTAGAATAAAATCAAGAATTACTGAATACAAAGGTGTTTAGGAATCTGATGATTTCAGAGGACAGTGTGATCCAGTTCTCACTTCAGTTACCACTGCAGCTGCCACCACTTGTTAGAAATCAGCAAACCTTATTTTACCCTAGAGTTCTCTTTCAGCTGTATGGATTGGGGCACTACAGAAATACAGAACAAAACAATGTGCCTGAGGAGTTTATACGTAAGCAGGCATGTAATATTTCAATATGATTTATTTAAGTAGCATCCTGAATTATTCCAATTCAAGTTTTCCTGTATATTTTTCTAACTGGGAGACTTTTTATAGTCTTACAGTCTTACAGTATTCTCTGCTCGTGAGCAAAGGATAGGAATAAATACTGACATGTTTTCTCTGAGAGTATCTTCCCCTTTCTTTTCAAAGAAATTGTTAGATTCAATATACCTGCGCATGCTTTGCTGTGATGCCATGGCTGCCATCTTTTGTGCTGTTGAAATGGTGTTTCTGAGTCCTCTACTATTTCGATATACAAAGACTTTGTAGTTCTTATGGGGATTCAAGAATGGGACTCATAGTTACAAATGGTTTACTTCTTAAACATAATGTTGAGCTTTGTAAATTTTGTAATTAAGTCTCTATAAACTCGGTGTCTCCAATACAGACATTTAGAAACTGGATGATTTTATGGATTGGAGTTTGGATCTGCAACGGCTTTGTGCTATAGCAGAAGAGCTGGGGAGATGTATTTCGTGAGCAAAATCTCTGAGGCATGAGCTCTATGTCATTTGAAGCATGAGCTCTATGTCATTTGAACTTTATGGTTCAGAAAATTGTATTGACTGGGTAGCTTCATGCTTATTGCCTCTAAGAAATTTGTTTGAATTTCCTCTGTGCAAAACAAGCTGTGAGGCAATAGCTGCTCTGGAAACTAATCTGAAAAAGACCCTGTTTGAAGGAGGAGAACGCTACATTCTCCTTGTTTCTGCAAGCTACCCTGCTCTTTTTTGTAGTGGTGCTTGTCTGGAAGGCATTTCTCTCATGCTTTCTTTGTGTGCTTTTTTGCTTTCTCCAATGTGAATGAAAATCTATCTATCTAAAGAAAATCTCTATCATGCACTCTGTGGTGGAGTTCACTTCATCCTTCAAAGTCTTGTTACTTGTCATGCAATCACTTGTGTGAACTTTCTTTTAAGCTATTAGGCTAACAGTTGTTTTGGGTTGGTTTTATTTTTGCAGGTTTATAATATTTGCACATTTATCATGTATGAGTGATTGGTAACAGTAATGAAATAGATAATTGAAGGGTTTCACTTACTTTCTTTTTTCACTCTTCTGTTTCTTGTAGGTTCGTTGCTAAACCATGTGCCTTAGGCCTTAAAGTCCAAGCCAACGGACCACAGAAAGCTCAACCTAATGCTATCCTGGAAAAAGTTTTCACAGCCATTACAAAGGTATAGTATTTATGTAAGAAAGGAGGATATGCCACTGTAAAATATATCTGAACAAAATGACACTAACTGCTGTGCTGCACTTTTACAGCTAAAATCAGGACATGCAAACATTGCAGTTGTTGGTATGCCAGCTTGAGCAGTTGTGCATCTTTGTGAGCTTTTAATTAAAAAAAGTTATAGAAGTACTTCTCAGGTGCCATATAGCCACTTACTTTTTTGTTTTGCTTCCTCCCTTTTTTCATTTTAGAAATTTCCACAAATATTTATTTATTTATTTATTTGAATAAATAGCAGATGATGAGATGCCTTTCTGTGTTTTCTATGAAATTTTAAATCTAATCCTTCCAGGGCAACTGCTTGAGTGCAGGGTGCTGGTGGTTTTCTGGTCTCGTAGCTGTTTGCATTGTGTTTTTTGTCTTTTGAACCTGGAGGGAAAAGCTAGAAAACTGAAACATGGCTTGTACTACTCTTTTCTGTAGGGTAGTCAAAGACAGACCAATTTTATTTGTCTTGCCTCTGCCTTGGTTTGCAGAGCCATTACCATTCGAATGGAAGTCAAGTTTCATGTTTGCTACTTCGGAGAATAACTGTGTAGCTCGTTTTACAGGAAAAAAAAAAAAAAACCCTCTCTCTGTTTCCAAGGTGATATTCCATCTGAATTTGTCACTTTCATGATTTCGTTTTTTAAACAGTATTATTTGAAAAAACATGGGTTATATCCTCTTCTTTACATGTCAGTCAAACAATCTTCACTCCTGTAACTGTCAACAGGACAGAAGATGGAACAGACAAAGCATATGGAAGGCAAGGGAGTGTTTGTAATCCCCACTGCTCCAGAAGTATATATCACATTATCCCTGCTTATCACTATTTTCCAAGTTTCATGCAAGTTTTCATTCTGCTACCCTCTGTAAATTCTTTAGTAAGAAACCACATACAATATTATAGCATATGTCAACCTTCTATATTAATAATAGTCACTGTAAGCATATTTTGATGCGGATGAGTCAGCAGAGATTTCTATCATGGACATTTTATTTCTACGTATCCATGCGTCTTACAGATGGCCTCTAAGTGATTGGAAGGAAGTTAAACCAGCTTTAAACTTGAAGTTACTGTAATTGGGGAAAATAATTTTTATCCATTTCTGTTGTATAGCATCCGGATGAGAAGAGGCTGGAGGGCCTCTCCAAGCAGCTGGACTGGGACGTACGCAGCATTCAGCGTTGGTTTCGACAAAGACGCAACCAGGAGAAGCCCAGTACTCTTACAAAGTTCTGTGAGAGCATGTAAGGAAACTGTCTTTACGGCACAGTCTTTAGCTATATAGCTTGACAGAGATCAGAAATGGAGGGATAAAGACAAAAGCCAATTGAGTACTTAAACCATTTCCCTTGCATTTCTCATTCTGGGGTGGTCCATTTCACTATTGCATTTTCTTGAGTATGCTTAATCATAGGAAGCTAAAGATTCCTATGGTTTCTTGAAGTTATTTTTTTACCTTCAAAAGTTTGCTTCTAAGGATTATTTCTCAGAATCCAATTGCTCTTCAAACTGATTATCTACGCAGGTTTCTTTTTCTCTATTGTTTCTAGTATCTGAGTCATATTTTTATGCTAGCTGGATTTAGCATAGTAATACTTAATCTGCATGGAAAGAGCACAAAAACCTAAATCTACTTAATTCATTTACATGTTTTTCTTAAAAGAGAACTGATAGACATTGAACTTGCAAAAAAAAAAAAAAAAAAAAAAAAAAACCAACCAAAGAATACCAGTTTCTTTGAAAAAGTTGATTAATTACAAGGCTGAGCTCTCCAGCACTGGTGTAATATCACTCATTCAATGTAGAAAGTCACACATCTAAGGCAAGTTTATATGTTTCAAATCAAGACACTTGGCAAATGTTACCATAAACAAACATCAGGTTTATCACACCCTATTGGTCAAGCAGATGAGTTATAGCTGGCTTAAAGCCAGTTATGCTTTTTGCCAGTTGGGTAGGAAGTTTTAGGTAAAAATGTCAGCAGCAACCAAGAAAGCCTGTGTGAATTAGAAAGTGAATCCTATTAGATTTAATCTTTTTTTCACGAGCTTATTTTAATTCCAAAAAATTTCAGCCTTTCGGTAAATAAAGGGAGTCTGTAAGAAAGAAGGGGAAAGACTCCTCAGCAGGGTCTGTTGTAATAGGACTAAGGAAAACAGTTTCAAACCGAAAGATGGGAGATTTATATTGAATATAAGGAGGGACTTTTTTTCACAATTCAGGTGGTGAGGCACAGGAACAGCTTGCCCAGAGGAGGTGATGTATGCCCTATCCTTAGAAACATTCAAAGTCAGGCTGGACCAGGCTCTGAGCAACCCGGTCTAGTTGTGGTGTCCCTGCTCATTGCAGGGGAATTGGACTAGGTGACCTTTAGGCATCTGTACCAACTCAAATGATTTTATGATTCTATGATTTCATTTAAAAATTGCATGTAAAGAAATCATAAAAAATGTGTTGCGGCATATATTTATGTATATGGTAGTCTGCAGTCATTTTGTACTTTCCTTGTGAAGTATGCTGTTATATTATTTTGTACTCTCTCATGTGAGGAGTGTAAAACATTCCACTCTCTCAAGTGTTTTACTTAAACTTTATTTTTCTGTGGAGATGACAGGAAAGTTCATAACATGATCCTGAATATATAATGTGTTAAGGCATTTTTTTCCAAAGCCAAGTCACAGATGAAATATTATTTCAGTAGCAAATGTTATTGTTTTCCAAGTAAGGATTCATTAGAAGAGAACTTAGAAGTGCTACTCTTGAAGCACATTGTCTCTCTAGCTGAGGGAATTTCATTTTTTCTATTTTAGAAGAAAAAAATTGTCTGAAGATGATAGTTCTTTAATGAACAGATGAATATAACTGTCAGAATTCTTAATTAATTTCTGTGGTATTTACAGCTAAAAGCCACACTACTTAGCCAAAGAAAAGCCAGGCAGAGTGAGATTATGGGTGAATAGTGAATGTATTACCCAGCAGCTGATGGTCTTAGAGTAGCTAACTTTTGAGATCACTGAAGGACAATCCTTTTCTATAAGGATGGTGTCTGTAAATTATACGCTTGTCTTGTGTAACTTGCAGGAGAGGTTGTGGAATCTGGAATAGAAAAAATAACTTTATTGCTGGTAGGTCTTGTATATCTAGGGGGTTTATTTGACAGCTTCTGTAACTGGAGCCAAAGATTTTGCTCTTGCCTGAGTGGCAGTGTGTTTGGGCTGACTTAGAGGGCTGAACTAGCCTGACCTTTCTGAGAGCAGCAGAGCAGTACTGGAGAGCTTTTCTGTTTGCAGGAAACTGCATGCAGAAATCAGTTGTGAGAAACGCTTATCACTGGCTGAGTCTCATGTATTGCCTACGAAAGTTACCGGTGCTGAACTTGCTCCTTTGTGGCATAAGTTATGGAAAAAGTGTGTGGATAAGAGCTGGGAATGCAAATTGAAAGGTGAGATCAAGCTCTGAGCGCCTTAACTTATGTAGCCATAATTATATGCCAGCTTCATTTAGAGAGAGATGTTGGGTGTTAGTTCCATGGGCATACTTAACAATAATGACACAGTTGCATTTCCAAGAAGAAGCAGGTTGATGTAAATCATACATGAACAGTTCAGATTCTCTCAGCTCGTGGTTTGCAGAGGGTGCAGCGGGAGCTGCCTCTGCAGCTCCATGTGTACGTGCTGCTGTGAGAGCAAGCTGTTACCTGGCCATGGGAGTGTTCCTATGGGAGCATTTGCAGTAGTGCCACATGCTGCCAACTGTCCCTTGTCACACTGGATAAAGTCATCAGCAGTCAGTCCACACAGCACTGGAAAGTCAGGGATGCTTTTTTTTTTTTTTTTTTGTCTGAAGAATCCTTGTGTGGGTGGCATCTTGGAGCTGTGAGCTGTAAGAAGCGTGTGTTCCTGTGGCAGCCGTGGGAACAGTAGCACTCCAGTCCTCCAGTAACACAGCGCTGAAGGGTGGTTAGTAGCCTGCCAGAGGGTGAAACCTCCCCTTGAGTAATCTGTGGGCACAGTGTGAGTGAAGCAACAGTGATCCCCACCCACGCCTTCAGCTGTGGAGCTTCTGTTGTCCTTCTAGAGGAGATTGCAGTTTTTCTGGCAACAGACTTCATTGGCTGTGACTTGGGGATGAAAGTGACAGAACCCACAGTAAATGTGGAGCTGCTTAAGAACAACTCCAACTCTATTATATGGAGTCAGTTCAATTTACAGCTAGTGAAAGTGTTCTTGGGCCCAGAATTACTTTTCCGTCCTGTGGAGGAGAAGACAGTTGTTCAGAAGGGACCATTTCTGAGCACCTAATCTTTCTTTCTAATGGATGTCTTGGTTACTGTGAAAGGCAGAATAGATTTGGTAGGACGAAGACTGAAAGTGGAAACACACTTGGGTTGTCATGAATGACACACAAGAGCCAGGCCCCAGCAATTGAAACAGTAACTTATTCTCTATGTTTCTCTGACCATGTATTTCTCAGTTTCTCTATCCCTTCCTTCCTACACCCTCAGAAGTATTTAGATTCTGATTCTAGGCACAGTGCTGAGCAATTCCAAAATCTACATTTTTCTTCTCCAAAAAATTGAATAGATCCTTTCTTGCTTGTCTTCATTACACATCCAAGGAATAAGCAGATAGAAATTAAATGAAAATGGAGATTTTTATTACTGTTTATACACACTGCCTGTGCAACAGTCTTATAATGAAAATAAATTACTTTTGAGAGACCCTTAACAGCAGTCACTTCTGAGAGTTTTGTGTCTCCATCTGAAAGAGAAAGTGCCATTCAATTATTGGAGCTGTGGAATCCACTTGTGGTGAGGCTTCAAGTGGCATCATGTACTTGTTTTAGATTTCAGATGTTATGGTTCTAAGTATGTATATAAAAAATGGAATTGTTGTTATCGCCAGGTAATGATTCATTATCGAGTGTTACTCCAAAGACAGTAATAAATGCAGTGCAGAGATTTATTTTATTAGCAAGTTGAGTTGTTTTTCAACGGTTTGATGATTTTGAAATGCGACTTGGAGCTAATAATGTAATGTTTGTAGTTGCTGGAAAGTCATGCAACTTCTGTTTGTAATGCTCAGGTACTAGATGCAGGGGTATGTCGTGCATTACTTTTTCTCTCGTGGGACCACGGGCAGTTTTTCTTCTTTCTCCATGTTAAAGATCCAAGGAGCATAAAGGAGAAGAAAAATTGGTGATCTGTGTGCACAGTGGACTTTTCTACTGCTGTGAATTTCTGCTGCTTTTTATTCCTTTTATTCTGTGCCCAGGGTGCAGACAAAGATAAAGGAAAAACAAGCTTCCTCCTGAAGAGTAGGGGAAGGTCCCTGTGTTCTGCTCTTTAAATGTGCAGCACATGAGAATACACAAAGCTTTTCTGAAGCTTGTGTAATTTCTATGTTATTCATGTTGAATATCTGCAGTACTTTACAAGAATAACAATTGTTTCTACATAGGGCTGTCAGTCTTTATAGACAATGATATAAATTGGACCAGATGCTCAAAAGACTCTACTGGAGCATAGTTCTGGCACAGAAATATATATATATTTTTAAAGTGTCTGGCCATTAATAGAAAACAAAATCCCAGATATGTCTTAAGGGGGAACGTTATATCTGAAAATAGCAGGATGAGAATTCATGGCATGAATTAAGCTAGTGGAAAGGGATCTTCAAGGTGTGCTGGGGATTATTTGAGAGGATGTAATGCCTGGAAGGCCTTGAATGATGGTTTTACTGACTGCCAAACAGAATGCAGGACACACAATGTCTTTGTTACTATATCTGAAAGACAATGCAGTGGAGATTCCAAATGACTTCCAGGTTCTTTCCCATTTCAGTGTACTGTGCTTCTACTTCACACGAGGCAGCAGGCGCCTCTACTATTCTCAAAGGGGGACAGTATTGAACAAACAAGCATCTTGCTCCCCTTCCATGTCCAAGCAAAGGGAAAAAATATCTCTGCCCTAAGTTATCAGACTGGGATTTTGAAATACCATCAGATACATGACTTGTCTGTCCTTCAGCTACATAGGTAGAAGTAAGCTGGTTATGAGAGAGATTTTCATGGTTTCCAAGGAGTAGCTGGCAGATATGTGTGGACAAGAGTGTTTTTGGAGTTTTTTTGCAACAGTCTGTGTTGAAAACATGGATATTCACATACTGAGGAGTGAAATCTAGATAACATACTTTTTTTCTTAAGGAAATGACAGTGTTTAAGAATGCTGCTTTGGGGGAGATTG